TTTATTAACCCTTTCCAGGGCATCCTGTGAACTGGCTCTGTAGTACTTTAGTCTTTGAAGCCTCATTCGTAATTTTGCAGGCAGGACACTTCTCCAAAGCCCTGGAGCTGGCCTTTGCCACGCAGCAGTTTGGGGCCCTGCAGCTCATTGCTGAGGACCTGGATGAGAAGTCAGACCCAGCCCTGCTCGCCCGCTGCTCCAGGTTCTTCGTGGAACACGCTCAGTATGAGAAGGCAATGGAGCTGCTCCTCACGGCCAAGAAGGTGAGCTGAGCCCTCTGGTCCCCCCTGCACAGGTAGAGGAGGTGTGTACCTGCATACAGACATTTATCTGCGCAGGTAAACAGATACACAGAGACACTTGCAGGGTTTAAAGTTTCCTCTCAAGCCAAGGACTCAGCACCTTGCCAGAGTGCTGGGTACCAGACCCATCCTGTGCCCACTCCTCTGGCTGCCTTTCTGCCATGTTCTGCAAGGGCACAGTAGCCCTTTTCTGGGCTAAAAGCTCTTGTATAACCTAGTCAGAATTTGTTCCAATAAGGGAAGTACCAAAATATTTCACAAAGTCTTTCGATTTATTTGTACTTGCTGAAAACCTAATGTTATCAATCATGCCTAACAAATCTGACTTGTATGACTGAAAATTCAGAGTCCAAATGACTGAATCTTCAGTGGCAGCCTTGTGTCCACTGAGAGAACAGGTGAGAACCAGTGGTGTCATGGAAGAACAAACATGTTCTTAGCAAACAAAATGGGACAGTGTGTGCCTGAACAGGGGCTGACGTCGGGGCATGTAACTACACCCGTGTTCCAGAGCATCCTCAGCTGCTTGTGTGTGTAGCTGGTTTCTGTAGGTTACACTACAAGCAACATGAGGTATCACAGTAGTGTTTGCAACATCTCATTGCTCCCTTGCTCCCACCAGTACCACGAAGCTCTGCAGCTCTGCCTGGAGCAGAACATGACCATCACCGAGGAGCTGGCTGAGAAGATGACGGTCTCCAAGGACTCCCAGGACCTCCCTGAGGAGTCCCGGAGGGAGCTGCTGGAGCAAATTGCCGACTGCTGCATGAGACAAGGCAACTATCACATGGCCACAAAGAAATACACACAAGCAGGAAATAAGTTAAAGGTCAGCCTGGATGGCCTCAAAACAAGGGTGTTTTGAAAAGTAAACCTTGGAGCAGACTTCCTACAGTAACTACCCAGACAAAGCTTCTGAGCCATCTTGCCTGGTGTTTTTGCATTCACAATATTTTCCCTCTCTCCCCCGTGCCCCTATTTCCATTGCCAGGCTATGAGGGCACTGCTGAAATCTGGGGATACCGAGAAAATTGTCTTCTTTGCGGGAGTTTCCAGACAGAGAGAGATTTACATCATGGCAGCCAACTACCTGCAGTCGCTGGATTGGCGTAAGGATGCAAAGATTATTGCGAACATCATCAGCTTCTACACCAAAGCAAGGGCCCTTGACCTCCTGGCAGGTTTCTATGATGCATGTGCTCAGGTACTGCCCATTCTGTGACTGCTGAACATGTTTGGTTTGGTAGCTCTGGAGCAAGACCTTCATCTCCTTTCTCCTCTTGCAGGTAGAGATTGATGAGTATCAGAGCTACGAGAAAGCCCACAGAGCGCTGGCAGAAGCCTACAAGTGCCTTTCCAAGGCAAAGGCCAGAAGCTCTGTGGAACAGGAAAGCAAACTTGCCCACCTGCAAAGCAGGATGACCCTGATGAAGCGGTTCATTCACGCTCAGAGGTGAGCTGCAGCACACAGAGCATGGAAACTAAGTGACAGAAATATCCTACCAGAACAGAAGTTGTACCAGCACCTGCAGTTAAAAAAATAATTTGCAGCCTCGCTTCTAAAAGCTGCTGGGACACTTTTCTGGCAGGGAAACCATGATGTGATTTTTAGAAGTGCTGTTGACATTAAAGGTGGAAAGGCAGCCTGAAAGAGAAGGAAGTGTCTGGAGCAAGGGAGGTGTAGCCAGAAAGGTGATTATCACAGAATGGTTTGGGTTGGAATGGACTTAAAGACGATCTTGTTCCACCCCCTGCCATTGGCAGGGACACCTTCCACTGTCCCGGGTTGCTCCAAGCCCCGTCCAACTTAGCCTTGGACACTTCCAGGGATGGGGCAGCCACCGCTTCTCTGGGCAACTGTGCCAGGGCCTCACCACCCTCACAGCCAGGAATTTCTTCCTAATACCCAGCCTACATCTACCCTTCTTCAGCTTAAGGCCATTCCCCTTTGTCCTGTCACTTCAGGCCCTTGTCCAAAGTACCTCTCCAGCTCTCCTGGAGCCCCTTTAGGCCCTGGAAGGGGCTCTCAGGTCTCCCTGGAGCCTCCCCTTCTCCAGGTGAATACCCCCAGCTCTCCCAGCCTGGCTCCAGAGCAGAGGGGCTCCAGCCCTCGGAGCACCTCCATGGCCTCCTCCGGACTCTCTCCAGCAGCTCCACATCCTTGTGCTATTGTTCCCCATATCTGGAGGCAGCTCTGCAGGGGAGTCTCACCTGAGGGGGCAGAATCCCCCCCTCCCCTGCTGCCCACGCTGGGGGATCAGCCCAGGACATGGGGGAATTCTGGGTTTTGTTTGGGTTTCTCTCATGAAACATAATTCAGCAAAACCTCTTCCCTGTCCTTGGCCTGACAAGCTGAACACTCCCTGGGCTGTGACAGTTGCCTTTTGCCCTTTACTAGAGTTTACCCTGAGGACCCCAAGGAAGCAGTCAGGCAGTGTGAACTGCTCCTGGCTGAGCAGGACTTTGACGATGCCCTCCGGCACGGAGATGTTCTGGGATTTCTGCTTCAGCATTATGCAAAAGTGGAGGAATTCCACATGGTGAGTGAAGCCTTAATTCTTCCAACCTACAGAGCCCATACTGTACACCTGTGCAGCCTGGTGGAGCGTGGCTCTCACAGAGGAAGGCATTCCACAGCAGGAGCTGAACTGCAGAGCAGGGTGGGGCACAGCTCAGGAACTACATCCGTATTTTTCACTTCACGGGATGCAAAGAGAAAAAGAAAGCTTCCATCACACAGAGCATAAACGGTGGTGGATTCTTAAGCATTCCCAGTTATGAGAACGGAGGGTCTGTCCGGGTGAGTGCCTCAGCAATCACACCACACTGTGTTTGCCACCTGGCCAGAGAAGAAAGCAAACTGTAAAATTGCAGTTATTTGAGGAAATGGTGAATCACTCCTTCAGGGCAGATGTGCCACACACCCCCAGTGCTCCCACTGAACTGTGACCTGCTGCTGTGATGGAACGTGAGGATGCCAAGGGCAAGTTCCTCCAGCTGTGCTGATTAACCTCATTTCTGATGTGAAAAGCACATTAAATGGATTACTGGGGCCTGTAGCACTGCAGCCCTGACAGTGATCTCTGCATTCCTTTAGGCTTACCGCTGCCTGGAAGAGATGCAGAAGAGAATTCCAGCCTCCCACCTGAGCTACTTCGTGTCCCCAGAGACCTTGGAGGCCGTGCACCGAGGGGCAGGCGTGCCCCTAAGCCCAGCCCTGGCTCCAGCACACACAGAAAACAGGGAGGTGGAAGAAGAAGTGGCTGATGAAGTGGAGAACTCCTGACACTGCAAAGCTGACTTTAATGCCAGGTCTTTTATTGCACCCTCATTAGGGGTCCCGGATCAGTCACGTGCAGCTGCCACAGGGCTTTTTGGTTATTACCAAGGAATATATTTTTCCTGCTTGACTGTACAAGCAACAGTATTGGAGTTAATAGGCTCTCTCAAACACAACATACAGAGGTTCACGTGTACATCCTGTTAAAAACCTGGCTTTAGTATTTTAATAAATTTGAGACAGAAAAAAACCAGTAAGAACTGCATATTCAGGCCTTTTTCCGAATCCAGAAAAGAGCTGAGTAACTGAAGTAGAAACCATGAGTTGACAAAATTCTCAAGTACAACTTTGATCTATAATTCCCTAGAAGCGAGACCTTCTAAAAACAATCTCCATCCCATTTGGAAGGAGCATGGTTAAAAAATCAATCTACCCCCTCCTGCAGGCTGAAGGCAGACTTCCCCCACCCAAAGCTTCTGTATTTAAATACATCAGAGGGTCATGTGGGGGAGACCACTTACAGACATCTGGGCTAAACCTCAGAGCCACGGAATGGCTGGGCTGGAAGCGACCCTGGATGCCTCCTGGTCCAAACCCTGCTCAAGGGGGGGGTCACTCTGAGCAAGTGAAGCTTCCTTCTCACAGGGAAGCTCCTTCTCCAAACACCAGTTACATCTAGCCACTCTGTTCTAGTCATATTTTCAGATGCAAATTTCTCCGCTGGCACAAGCAGGACTGTGAGAAGTGAAGCTCAATGTACCAACCAAGCTCCTGCTCACCTCTCAGCTTGTCAGCCCACCCCACCAAGGGGTAGTAATCAGGTCACTCACGCATCTCTTACCAACCAGCCCTTCTGCTTAAATGATTTTTCTTTTTCATGTTTTGTGACTTGCTTCAAAACTTGGGGTGAATATAAAGTTTTTAAATTGCTTTTGGAGAAGAAGAGTGGGGAAGATTTTAAGGTCAAAATCTGAATGTTAGTTAGGTCCAGCACATTTTCAGCAGTTCAGTGTAGCTATCCAGTGTTTGCATCCCATCAGCAGTGCCATTCCATGCCACCCCTTCCAGCAGCAGGCCAACAGCTGTCACCCCAAACTGCCTGCTCAGGGGTGCAGGAGCCTTTGTCAGGGGCAGGTCAGAGTGGCAAGTGGCCACCCCCAGCTCTCCTGTTTGTCTGACAAGAAGGCTCCATGAGATCTTCCCTGTATTTTTAGCTGAGTGCTCAGACCTGCCAGGGTTATAAATAGCTGGGTGGGGGCTGGGGGAGGATGGCAGTGCTCGCTGCCTTCCTGCATCTGTACTCGCTGTACCGGATACCAAGAGCTCACTCAATTGGCCTCCACTACAAAGTCCAGATGTCAAGTCAGACCTGCTGGCTCACAGCTCAGCACCCTTCCCCCTTCTTCCTCTCCTCCAGCCAGGTGACTGCTGAAGAGGCCCCAGCAGTGCCCAAACACATCCAGCTGGCAAGAGCACGAGCTAAAGGCCACTTCTGTTACCATTTCAGCTAGGAAGGGACAGCTTCAAGTTTCTTTTTCAGGTTCTCCATGAGCAGCAAGTTCTGCAGGGCCAGCCTCCTGCAGTCCCCATCAGGATCTTTCTCCACCATATCTGCAAAAGAAGCAGCTGCTGAGAGATGGAAAATGGGCACTTCTCACTATCACTGACAATCACAGGACTAAACACAACAGCATTTGCACCTGTGGCTGGGCTGGAACTGCACTAGGCCTGAAGGCAGAGATGCACAAACTTGATCATCTAAAGCAGCATGAACTCAGACAGGCCCTGAGTGCCACACAGGACAGTGCGCTGGTCAGTCTTGTAGGAGAAACAAATAGTTGGGTTGAAACACTATAGACACTGTCTGATCCTGGACTCCATGGGATAACCTCCGTGCCAGAATTTGTACTTCTGCCCTCGAGCTACACATAACCTTGGTACAGCTGAGCTACAAGCGTGAATGCAGCTTGCAATTAGAAATCCACTTTCTCCAAAGCCTAAAGTCTCCATTCTGCCATTACTCCAATCCAAAATGGTCAGTGCTTCCTCCTGAATTTGGGGTCATGCTGCCATTCCAATGGGGAAAGGAGGCAGGCCCCAAGGTTCAGCACATTCTCCATTCTGAGAGACCAGTCCTCTGATAAATGAGTTCTTCCACATGTTATGCAGCACGTTAGGGCAGGCATGAGGCTGTTCCCAGCAGCTGTTATTCCAGGGGCCCTTAACAAGCCTGCAAAGTAACAACCAGGATGCATGCAGGATGTCTGAGCAGGGGAGCCTGGAAGAGCGGGGAGCCTGTGTGAGGATATCCTGTACGCACGAGCCCGTGCTAGGAGCCCGGCACTGTCAGCCCAAACACATGACTCATGGCCATGGAGTGGGGCTATTTATAACACAGGGAGAGCTGCCCCGTGCTGCTTCCATGCTCCCTCTACAGAAGGCAAAAGGGGAGGTTACAAGACAGACTGGAACAAGCTCAGAAGCTCACAATGCTGCTGGTGCTGTTTCTGTTCTGTGAGCCTGGACCTGGCACTGCTGGCACGGCAGGGGAGGCACAGGGCACCGGAGTATCCTTTGGGTCCTGACATAAACCACACTTAGCCATGACACAGCTCCACGGCACTTGCAAGGGGTGGGGAATTCCCTCAAAGGCAGCTGCTGAGGAATCAAAGGAACTGTTTCCTAGAAGAGTTTAGGTATTCCCTCCCTCCCCTAGGAATGATCAGGCTGCTCACCAGTAGGTTCAGCATGGCACTAAGGGCAACAATGGACAAGTGCAAGGTGGATTCTCACCTCTCCCCCCAGCTGAAATGTCCCAAAGCATCCAGTAAGCAGACAATGCCATGACAGTGACTGAAGTAGTTTCTTAGTCCACACTGTGAACAGTTCTGGTGACAGCCCGCAGGCTGAAGGGCAGACACAGTGCCAGGGTCACTACAGCAGTCTGTGTAGGCCCTGGTGTAACAACAAACTGAAGCAGATTTGTGGATTTCTACTCAACACTTCATGGATAACATTTCCTATCCCAGTGTTCATCATTGTGCTTTGGCCATGGCAGGAGAAAGGCAGGGCTTTAATCTGAAACCCAAAGCAGTCACAAGGCTCCTGTGCAGGGCAGCTTGTCACTCCCAGCTACAGCACAGCTAACACACACCACCTCTTGCAAATCTTGTCTGGAAGAGTCATGAAGAAACAGCAAGTTCGTGACCTCGGACCTGCAATTCAGGCACAGAAGGAGGACTCCAGTGTCAGATTTGACCTGTAGGATCAGCAGGGAGGACCCAGTGCCTCCCTGTGCAGCCATTTTACCAACAACCTTAGAACAAACAGCAAAGGCACAGCCTATGAAGCTGGGGTGTTCCAGGAAGCAGCTCTAGAAGCCCTTTAAATTGCACTTAAATTGCATCTGACCAGAGGTGGAGCTGAGTTGAATTCTTTAAGGTTTTTGAACGATTCCTACAGCAATTTTCCCTTCTCTGGTATTACCCACAACTGTGATCTTGCCCTGCGCTCATTTCCACAAGGATCAATTATGTAGTTTTCCTGCAAAAGCACTACATGTAAAGAGATGGCTATTACACTCCCTACAGCCATGAGAAGCTACTACTAGTTCTCTCATCCTCCTCCTCCCCAAAATAACTCATTAAAAACAGATTATGCAGCTCCTCATGCTGGAAATGCATTCCTGAAAGGCTGCACTTGGTAACAGCAGTGTTAACTGTAGAGACAAGCAGATTCCTGAGAGCACACCATGTCATGGGAAAAGTGAAGTCTTGGGCCCCACAAGGCAGCTCTTCCTTTCAAAGGGCACAGAGCTCCCCAACCTGCCAGGATCAGAGCCTGGCTGGGTCAGTGTCGCTTCCTGCTTGCTCCCTGTGGGAAGCCACGCACCAAGAGAGAGAATAGTGAAGGAAACCAGACCAGGGAGTCATAGGAATCACCCTGAGAACACAGTGGAGGCTTCAGCATTAGTTCCTCTGTTAGCTCCAGCTCCCTGCAGTACCTGAGCACTGATCTGTGCAGAACCCGAGGACACAGCTTGTGTTGACCTCGAGTGCACTGGGCGCAGTGTAGATTGTTCTTTCCATCAGCAATAGGAAGTGAGAGATGGAGCCATGCTCATCTTCCTCTTGATTTTAGCACTAACAATCCCCCCTCCTGGGTGGGTGGTTGGATGCTCAGACAGAGAAAGGAGGCCCAGAACACCTCTGGGAATTTTTTTCATTGGCCTGTGAGGACAGTCACAGTTTGAAATGCCACACACAGCTCTTGGCTTATGCATCAGGTACCTGGGTACTGAACCCCTGCAGTACACAGGGTGCTCTGCCACTTGCTGATCACGCAAATTTCTGGTGCACAATGCCAGGGCATCACTGCTGCCCTCACAATCAAAGAGATGCTGCACACAGACTGCACCACTAACCTGAAAAGCACTGGTCTACCCCACCATGTCTTACCTCCCAGCCAGGACTGAGTCTCCAACAGCTCCTCTGTCATGTCTGCCAGAAGCAGCTCTGCAGGGACACTGAGGAGCAGGGAGGAGATACAGGACAAGAGGCCCTGGCGCACATACCTGTGGAGAAGAACTGGTTAGAGCCTGCACCTTGATTTCCTCACCTCAGGAGCTCTCCAGTTTCAAAAGGTATGATGACTTTTGCCACATTCCTGCTGATTAGTGATGTAATCATGCACCAGCTAGCAGCGTGCCCACATCCAGAGCCCCTGGCATGCTGTGGTGCAGGAGTTTGGTGTAATTGAGAGCCCTGGACAAGTCTGAGATCAAACTAGAAACTGGATGTTTACAGCCTTTTGGCTACATGTCTTAATTCCTTTCCAAGGCTGAATGCTAGAATTGAATCTATAGTTTTCTGAGCTCCCTGAGTAAACACAGATGAAACCATCACATGGACAGGTGGTCAGGAAATTTGTCAAGCTTTCTATAGGTAACGGCTGTACTACCACACTGGAAGACATCAGCCAAGTTCATGTGTTGGTCTGGCATTACACTCAGCTGGAGGAGAGCAGAGACTTATTGCATTAAGTCTCTGACACCCTGAGTCAGGTGCTAGTCTTGCACAAAGACAAACCATGGCTGGAGACTGGCTCACAGCTGATCTTTAAAAATGAAAGTACACAACTAGAGTAACTCACGAGTCCGTGTGGAAACGCAGAGTCCAAACAAACTCCAGCAGTGCCTTTCCCATTGCTGTCACTGCCTGCAAAAGAGGATTGTGACAGCACTGAACACCTTCCCATCCACACCACCCCACAGAGACACACTGCTCACAGAGTCACAGCATGTCCTGAGCTAGAAGGGACCCAAAGATCATCAAGTCCAACCCCTGGCCCCACACAGGACACCCCAACAATCCCACCCTGTGCCTGGGAGCATTGTCCAAATGCTCCTTGAACAAAGATTTTGTAAAGATCAGGGCTACAATTAAATGCATTTTACAGATGAGGAAACTTTGGCAGCAAATTGAAATGATGTGCTCAACCCCCCAAAGAAGCTCACAGTTTTTCTACAAAAGATAGTGCAGGGGTGGCTTGAATCCAATGTCTCTTTTCTGACTGATTTGTCTCAGCCTCTTTCACAGCTTCTCAGCCCACACAACAGCAGAGTTGCTGCCAGCCCAATGCAGCAGGCCCCAGAGCACTGCTGTTCCAGAAGGCACCTCGAGTTCCCAGGCTGGAAGTCTCCCCTGCTCTCTGCCCTTCCTTACCACAGCGTTGACGGCCAAGTACATCAGCACTGCTAAAGTGTGGACCAGCCTTCCAAGGACTAAGTGATCTTCCCCCAGGAGATCAAATGTTGTCAAAGGCCTGCAAGACACAGAGTTGTGCAGCAGTAAGAAGGCTGATCAGTACATCTTTGGAACAGCTGGGGAGTTATGCAGGGGGAACTGTCCCCCTTAAGGCTGAATCCCTACAACAGTCATTGTACAGTCACTACCAGATTAACACAGCCCATGGCTGTTTGCTCTCATCTTTTACCCCAGTCCAGTATCTCCCACAGCAATATCCTCTACTCTTACACCAGCTATCACTCATTTCAACAACAGGCTTACTTGGAAAGACCTGCAGGCAAAAACTGCCCCCACTGCCATACCCTTACAACTAGTATTACAATAATCCTGATTATCATGGAATCGATTAATTGGCCTTCTTAGGTTAGCAAAGACTTAAGGAACTGACCATGTCCTGTGTCCTATACAGGCTCCACCTGAGACAGAGTTAACTTTGGTTCCAGACTGCAGTCTGAGCTCTGTGGTTTGTGTGAACCTCCCACAGTGGAGGCTCAGCCAAGACAACTGGTGTGGTGCTGCCAAAATCACTTGTCTGTGAGATTATCCCTCGTGATGGATCTCATTTCTTCAGGGTCCTACACACTCCTGCCCCACAGGCCTTTCCAAGCTCTGTGAATGACCCTGGTGTCAGTGCAGTGTCACTGGGCTCCTGCACAGCTCCCGGGCTTTAGCCTGCTGCTCTGAGGCAAGAGAACAAGCAGAACGGTTCACTCTGGCAGCTGCCATACCCATACCCCAAGGTGTTCACACTCACCTGTCAAAGTGCTGAAGCAATGGAAAGAAGAAGTGCCCAGCAACAGAACTGAACTGGTTTGGGCTGGAAGTCGGTTCCATGTGACACTGACACTGTCCAAGAGAAAAATGAAGTCTAGACATGAGATGCAGCACCCAGCTCTTCCACTTCACTGGACACTGCCATGACAACAGATTCCTTGCAGCCAGCCACTGCTTGTAGACCCATGGCTACCAGTTTCCTGACTGGATTGCTCACTTCCCACTTCAGATCCTCTCCACATCTAAACATTTCAGTACAATATAGCTCAGTACTGGTGGGTTAGATATAAGGAACATGAACATGCAAGGGATAAAGGAGTTTTGGAAAGCAAACTCTCCAGGCTGAACCACAGGGGAATTCTGGGAACTAGGAAACTGTCATCAGTTTATCTCCCTGGAAAATAGGAAGGCTGAGGCAGTCCAGTCGAGAGGCAGCTAGTCTGGGATCTGTGAGGTGCAGTCACAGCTCCCTGCAGCGGCCAGACAAGCTCAGAACAGCCACTATCCCTCAAAGCCAGGTAAGGAGTTCTAGGTTTATTTTCCTCTCCCTGCTGGGAGAGGACTGCAGGAATTGGTACTCTGCACCAAAAGATTCAGCCAGATACCAAGATACATTTATATTAGTAGTTACAGAGTTTTCCTTTGGACTGGGCCCACTTTCATGGGTTTTTGCTCTTTCCAGACAGAACTACAGCAGGTCTGAGTGTCCCTATTTTTGCTGGATTTGACCTTAGTTTGTTTCTGCCCTGGCCTCACCGTAGCAAATCTCCGAGTCTTGCTTTTGATCCTCTCATCAACAATTCTTCTCCAGTCCTTAGAGCTGTCATTTCCAGGAAGGAGCTGGATACGAGGCTTTTGGGCATCAGAATGCTTGGGCTTCCCATGGAATTTGGGACAGGACAGTTCCTGAGCTGCCAAAACCAATACCTGGATGAAACAGAGAGATGTTCAGTTAAAAAGGGGTAACCCCTAGGGAACAACAGTCCCCTGCACCCAAACTGACAGGAGCAACAAGGCAGAAAGGCACAACAGGTTTAGAGTGAAGAACAGCAGGGAACTGAACCCCAAAAGCCACCTGGCTTCGAAGCACTGACCAAGCACTTGGTCACTGAGCCCTGAAGCAGAGCAGCAGCTCCTTCAGACAGAGGTGTGGAAGGAGTCGAGGGTAGATTTTCATTCAGAAAAGGCAGACAGAACAGGCTGATGAAGGGAAAGGAAACTGGCTTCTCCCAGGCAAATGCCCAACAAATGCTCTGCGTTCTTGGGGGAGGGATCCCTGTGTCATGGAGTGTAGCAGGGTTAGGAACAAGAGGGGAATGCCAGGCACAAATACAAATGTAGAGATTCCCCTGCCTCTGCCTCCTCCCATGAGGAATGAAAGGTAACCCCATTACACCTCAGCACTGGTGCAACAGACAAAGGCAAGTGGGAAGTGAGAACACTCACATCAAGGATGTCCATGCGCTGACGGAGACTGTAGTTAAGAGAGTAGAACTGGGAGGTCAAATACTTTGAAACCTGTACAGAAAAATCAGGGTACAGTGAACGCAGACCTAGGCTGGAAACAGCCTTCCCACTAACTCTAAAAGCATTTCATTTCACAGGGCCCGCTTCCTGTGAAGTAACGGCAGGCTTCCAATGGAAGGGAAGAGACATGCTGTGTAAACAGGGGAAATTCAGACACTTCCAGGTTCTCCCAAAAGAAGTAAATGGCAAATGGGACTTTCTAATTTTTCTGTCCCTCCTATACAGAAGTACCCAAAAAACTGCCATGACAGCTAGCAGACCTCACTGTGGCCTCTCTGTACTTAAAGAGGGTTATAGGAAAGAGAGAGGGAGGCTTTTTACCAAGGCCTGTACTCATAGGATGAAGGGTAAAGGTGTTAAACTGGCAGAGGATAGATCTAGATTGGATGTAAGGAAGAAATTCTTGGCTGTGAGAGTGGTGAGGCCCTGGCACAGGTTGCCCAGAGAAGCTGTGGCTGCCCCATCCCTGGGAGTGTTCAAGGCCAGGTTGGACAGGGCTTGGAGCAACGTGGGCTGGTGGAAGGTGTCCCTGCCCATGGCAGGGGGTGGAACGAGGTGAGCTTTAAAGGTCCCTTCCCATCCAAACAGTTCTGTGATTCCATGATTACAATCACCAGTGAAGTCTTTCTCTCTAGAAGCCCTCTGTGCCTCAGCTCCCCTCTATGTCACACCCTTCAGTACAACAAGTCCTTATCTAACCTGCCTTGTCAGGTACACTCTTACCAACAGCCTCAAACAGTCCCTCCAGTCTGACAGTTTTCTCTTTCCTGTTGGTTCAGTCACTCCTTGCAGATTCTTCAGCTGCATAAATGTCAGACCTGATCTACCTGTTCTACCCCACTGACAAGGAGCTGCCTCTATCAAACCAGCAAGAGACTTCAGCTGCTTCCAATTTTTGCCTGTGCCTCAAATGGAAAAAAGAAAGCAGTAAGAGGGACTCACAGGTATTGGATCTGTGGTTAAAACAGCTACTTGAGCTCTCTGACGGAGCTCCACAAAGCCTTCAATGCAGGTCTTCTCCTCCAAATGCAATAATATTTTTGCCAGCTCCACACTAACCTGCTCAAAATATGAAAAAAGGAATCAAATCTCTGATGGTGGGTTTTTTTTTCCCTCATGGCCTTTACACACCATTTCTAATGTTTAAACCAAGACAATCCATATAGGCAACATGTCCATCACTTAGGAGGGAGAGAAAACACATTAAACCAAATGCCATCAAGACAGATTTCTCAAAACCCTGAGCAACCCCCGTGTCTGCCAATTCTCTGTCCAGATTCACTTGGGCTTTCTGGAGAAGTGGTGGCATCATGATATAGGATAGCTGATGGGTTAAGGGTACAGGACCATACCTCTCCCGTTTCTCAGCCTGTGTCTCTGCCACCTTCAAGTGTTCACTAACAGGTGGTGGTGAGCATTCTTTGCACAGTGACCTTGTCCCAGGTTCCTCTCACCTGAGCTTTTCATCTTGACCATACAATCCAACTATTCCCCTCAGAAGACATTATGCTTCTACAAGCAAAAAGGGAAAGTCCGTTTGATTTTACCTCCCTTTTTGTTGGGGATTAACAATTAAATTGAATTTAATTTCAAAATCCAACATAGTTGCTCTGTAATCTGCATTTCTGATGTTTTTCCTGCCCAGCACAAACCATGGAGCTTCCTCATACAGGCAAGCTCTCCTCGCAGCACATTTCATTTTGAGTGCTGAAGCTGCTGGATACCATGGGGCTGCCAGCACCTTTGCTAATTCTTTGTTTCTTTGTGCTCCAGAGCCTCACCTTCAAGGCAACTACTTCCACCTATTTCCCTTCCCAAGTTGAAAGCTTGGGAATGTGTACCTTAAACCCAGGTACACATTAGCCTGGCCTGCTGCTCCACTGGCACATCTCATCTCCTCATGACAGCCCTCTGGTATTGCAGCCCACTGGTAACCTGGGTCCTGCTACTTCACCTCTCTTGTTGCTGCTGGATTCCTCCGAATCAAGCTCTCAAGAGCCTTGACTGTAGCCTCCCATTTGTCCACATCTTCAGATCCTGTCAGAACTGAAGGTAATCAAAAGACAAACAAAAGTTATTAACTCTGCTGTGCTTGGTGTACATACCCCAACTTCCTGCTGCCAATGGTTTGTCCTGGTACAGGCAGGTACCACTGACCCAGCATGACCAGCACCAGGAACTAAACTGAAACTACTCAAAAATCCTACAGCTTCTTCAAATTAGCTCAGAAAAAATAAACCTGCACAGAGATCACTATTCCCACACCTGGTAAGAACGGATGACGACTCAGCCCAAAATCTCCTACCTTCAATGCAGTCTCGGATATACACAGGAGCCTTAATCTTCAGCTCTTTATCCTCTGACATGTCATAAGGGATGAGGTCATCATCACTGGAAAAGAAATAAAGGCAGGGGTTGGTTTATGGGGTGCAGATGTTCTGGCTTTCCCCAGTTAGACACAAAGAGAAAGAACCAGCACATACACTGCCATAACACCACCACTCCTGCATCACCCAGCAGCACTGCTGAAGCCTGGCCTGAGAGGGGTCCTTAGGAATTCTAGGAATTTCTCAGGGAAAAAGCAGTTCTGTGACCAGATCTGCAATTGGATCTCCTGGTCGAGGGCAGGAAGGAGTCAGGTGACCAAGAAGCTGACTCTTGAGATTTCTTTATATATTGACATATGTATTGACATATTTCTTTATATAGTGACAGAATATGGCAGGTCCACTATTAAAATGGGTAAATACATCCACAATGTCCAGGAAACATGTATCTAAGTCAAATGGAATACACATGGTGGTTGCACACAATGTGGGCTGTGCTTAATTTATTGACTCAATTTCTTATGCAAAGCCCTGCTCTGCTGCAAACCACTCAGCTCAACAAGGTCAGAAATCACATTTGCCAAGAAATGCAGGTACTGATAGCTCCCTTCTCCCCACATCTGCCATTTATTTTCCATTTCCTCCCTGTTTCTTGCCCCATACCTGTCAAGCTCAGCATCTGACTCCTCATCTGGCATCACAGGGGCTGCTGTCTGGGATTTCTTGTTACTTTCTGGTACCAATGGCAGTGCAGCACCTGCTTTCTCACTCCTGCTGTGAGGAACAAGAATTTTTAAAATAAACACAGTAACAGTCCTTACTCACAAGGAAGAAACTCCCTACCCCACCAACCCCTGGTGCCTGAACAGAACAGAATTGCTGCAGTCTCACAGTCAGCTTGGCAGGAAAAAAGTCCTGGGAAGGAGAATGAGATAAAGGGAGAAAAGCAGAATCTCTTAACAGAAGAGCAATGAATAACAAAAATTAAACTGGCTCATTTGCTGTGTTCCCCTGCACTCCCCTGTACCTGGGACTGCTAAGGAAAGATTGTGATAGCCAATTACACTGACCTGCACCAGATTTGGAGCTGTGAATGAAACTGAACTAAGTTTAGATCGGATATTGGGAAGAAATTCCTGGCTGTGAGGGTGGTGAGGCCCTGGCACAGGTTGCCCAGAGAAGCTGTGGCTGCCCCATCCCTGGAAGTGTCCAAGGCCAGGTTGGACAGGACTTGAAGCAACCTGGGCTAGTGGAAGGTGTCCCTGCCCATGGCAGGGGGGTGGAAGGAGATGGGCAATAAGGTCTCTTCCAACCCAAACCATCCCATGATTCTATGAAATGGGAAAAAAACATTTTTCACTATTGCTAATAGGATGAATACAATAATTGAGAATATTTTTCCTGTGTCTGTGTATTTCTGTGGACTTTGCCATTGTCCTTTCATCTCTCTGCTTCTCAAAAGATGTCTATGCTGGTCATGCCCCTGGAACACGAGCAATAAATGTTTTGTACTTCCCTGGAGTGCTGGGCATCTTCATCTGCTAATAACATGAAGTGCTTCATTGCTCTGCTGATCAAACTGAGTGCTTCCAAGAGCCTCAGCAGATGCCCTGAAAGTTCAGAGCACTGACAGATGCAGCAGATTTTTGTCATGGCTGGGGGCACATGGCCAAAATGCCACATTTCCAAGATGCAAACAGAAACCCCCATTTAATTGCACTCAAGGGCACACAAGACCCCTGTCGCAAGGCAGAAATTGTGTGAACAGTTTCTATTGCATTTCTGAGATTTCTCCCCTGGCATGGCTGGGTGCTGATAGTAAAAATTACTGCGCCACTAAGATGGCTACCCTAGCTAAAGTTAGAACAAAGGTGGATTCATGCCAGATGCCAAGGAGGAGTTTTGGCAGGTGAATAAAGTTTTCTCATCTCCTATGACCACCTGTTGTGGTCCAATTAGCAGTGGACAGCAGAGCATGTTTTCCTTATGTAACCAATGTAGTGTGAACAAGAAACTAAGCGTCATTACCACTATATAATCTTTTTCCTAATAAACCTGACATATTGCCTGATCACATTGATCCTGGAGCAGTCTGTCCGTTCCCTTCCATCAAGAGACCCCCGCACCACAGTTTCACTATGTGCACCTATCAAACAGGCTCTTTTAATACATGCTACCATCGGAATTATGAATTTAATATAACTACACTGCACTGTAAGAAGAAGGTACATTATAATGCTTAAGAACATACAAAACATCTTGAATACTGTACACAGTTCTCACTTGTAACTCAAAAAAGACATGGAGAAGGGCAAAAAGATGGCATGAACAGTAGCCATAACTTACTCATCACCTGGAAGGCTGGGGACAACACACAGTGGTGGAGTCTGCACCAGAAGGGACCTCAATTCTCTTGTTTCATCATCTTCTTCATACTAGACATTCAGAATAACTGTTGCGGCACTCTTATTTATTGCAAATATGCCCAGCATACAACATTTCACCCTTGTACTGCACATGGACTGAACCATGAGCAGATGAACCCCCACCAATTCCATTTGTTTCAATCCCTGTACTGCCAGCAGCACTGTATTTATTCTGCATAGGTAATCTTTGTCCCTGTATTTAACAACAGTACCTGATCACACCTTGTCTGAATGTTATTTCCATCTTTAAAACATTTAAAAAATGGCAGTGTGACATGAGGGATGCTGCAGGCTTTTAAAGAATTAATGTGATTTAATCAGATAAGTCACAAAAACTCTACTGGAAAGAGTAGAGCATGTATCTCCACATCAGTTTTGAAAATCCCAACTCAGAGCAGGTCTTCCCACCATATCAGGGACTAAATGCTCACTACTGGTTTAGGTTTGAAGTTCCCTCTCAACTCCTATGGGTCAGATTCTGATTCCCTCATACAATGTGGTAAACCTCTTTTATTACCAACAGTTTACTCTGAACTCTGTCAGCAGATTGGATTCCTAAGGTCACCCTCAGCCACCCGACCATTTCCTATACAATTGTTTTCTGTAAACAGATACCCTCTCTTTTTGAAGGTGCTGCTGCCCCTTCTTATTTCCAGACAAAAAAAGTGCTAAAATTCCCTGATCACATGGTTTAAAGCTTTTATTTCCTCTAAGCCTCACACATCAATCATAAATTTCATTAAAACCTTCACCTCAAACTTCAGGACAGGCCCCTCCGTGTTTATTTTAGAGCTGATGCTCTCTGCCACCACCATTCCCAGACGCCGGAGCTGCGGCAGACTGCTGTCCAAGTGGCACTTCACACCCTCCATCATGCTTGTGAGAAGCTCTGAAAAAAACAACCAACAAATGGTGCATGAAACAGTGACAGAAACGAACACCCATCTTTCCTGAGGGCAGCTTTACCCACTCACCACTGGGCAGAAAGAGCCCATGAACTGTGCCTTCCACCTCTGCAGTGGCAGCACTGCCCTTCAGCATCAGCACAGGAGGCCCTGGCCCTTCCATGGGGTACAAAGTCAACAAAACATTACAATATATTCTGAATTTGCAATATTTTGTTTTTTGCTGAAACATAAAAAGGATGGTAAGTCAAGTTAATCTTTAGTTTGGTTTTAGAGTTCTTTGAAATCACTTAAATAAAAAGCCATGTTTTGAGGAAGCTACAGGTTCTGACCAATACAATAATTGGAGAGAGAGATTTCCCCAGCCACCTGGGTAAGTTCAAACAGGCAGATGACACAAGTATTTCTCAGCCCACAGAAGATGCTGGCTGCCAGCTTTACCAGGCAGGCTTACTGCTGTCAGACTAACCTCCATCTCAGAAAGCTTATTTTTCAAAAGCTGTCAGATAAAAAAACTGACTATAAAACTACAGTACTGTTAGTACATATCAGGTCACTTATTCATCTAAAGAACAGTTAATTCCAGAATGAAAGAGATGAGCAAGTCTTGAAGGCAACCTTTGCACCCCCCATGAGCCACACACACAGAGAAGTAACTCTAGACATTGTACAGCACTTTTTTTATTGCAACAAAAGCAGAGATTTTAGACCAGGACCCCAGTGAGCTCCACACTGTGTGAACAGAAAACGGGAGGTCTGTGCCAGTGACTCACTATCCCTGCTCAGCCCAGGTGAGCGGAGCAGTGACACAGAGAAACGCAAATGGACAGTCAGACACCAACCAAACCCTCAGATACCTTCCCCATCCCCTCTGGAGCTGTACCCATGCTCCACGGTTAAGCTCAAATCACACCATTCCTCTCACTAGTCCCAGAGTCAACCCTTGTTTTCCTGTGACAAAACTTTGGGGTTCCTAAACCACTGCTCAGTTAAGACCCTTAGGGCAAAGATAAGCTTCTCCAATTCCATAACTTAAAGCTATGCACTTGGAATTATATCATGTCAATGCAAAAGAGGATTCCAACAGGTTACCCTGTTTGCCAAGGAGAAGGTGGGGCCATTGTGCTTATCCACAGATCAGAATGAGATCTTTTTCTACTCCTAGTAAGACTCTCTGCTAAACAAATCTAAGCTCTGCTTCTCACAGGACCTCACCTTGTCTGCAGCTCTCGATTTCAGGCTCCTTCAGGTGGGAGAGGCAGATGAGGATGGCCTTGCTAATATACAGCTGCTGCTCGGGTGGTGAGTGTTTCACAGCACTGCTGCTGCCCCAGGTCTCCAACAGCTCCTGCAGCACCTGAATCAGAGAACTCAGGCTGGCCTGAAACGGATCTTTTCTACACAGAAGTAATTTCTTGAAGAACATTTTTAGTCTCCCTACAAACAGAGCTAACTTTGTACTTCAGGGCCCAAAGCATACTGTGGTTGACCACCTAAGAACTCCATTTGACCTTCATTTAAGATATTGTTAAATATAATGGGGTTTTAAATTTAAAAATTATAAATGTTTATTTCTGATAAATAAATATTATATGCAAAGCAATGTGTATTATTTTCAAAACTCAGTATGATAGCATGTTGTTTTATCTGGTTTTAGTCCAATTTTAAATAGCTTTCAGTACTTCCAGATCATTTCAGAACATGTAACCAGTGGGAAAAAAATTATTTGACAAAATGGTAGAGATTTCCAGATACGCAAATTTCACAGAAGTTCCATCACACTGCTGACTTGGAGAGGGAAAATATCTGCCATCCCCACTGAGAAAAATGTAGATGAGAGAGATTCTGAAGCATCAACCATTTGGCACACAGACAGCTCTCCACCAACTTGATCCCTTGCTGCCACCGGCTCAGCCACACAAACAGGGTGAGAGAGGAAGCTGAGAAGGATAGAGGACATGGAACATCAGTCAGAACCCAAGCCTCATTAGTTTTGCTACTTGGAAGTTAAATACGAAAAACTAATGCCAGCAGCGCAACAAGCTTTGATTTGTGTACCACTATTTACTTGTGATATGTCAGGGCTTCCCTCGCTCTCATCAACAGCAACAAAAGGGTCTTGGAGAAGTACCAGAACTGTGCACCCCTCAGACACACAGAGCAGAGTGTTCTCCATCAGACACCTCACCAATTACATTGGTGATCCTTACTCTGAGCAGCAGGGCCCGCCGGAGTCTGTCCAGGGACAGGTACCCAAGGAGGTTCTGCAGCACCGCCGTCTGCAACGAGAACCACAGCTCTTGCTTTAACTGGGCACAAAGCTGTCACCCAGCACAGACAGGGCTGTGTTTTTACTACATTAAACTTCATTCTGACAACATTCAGAGACAGAAAAGTAAACAAATTTTAAGAAACAACCAAACACACATATGCAGTTGCTGATGAAACACACGGGAAGGCACGACAGGAATACAATGCAGTGTTTTCACCAATAAAACCAGCACAGTCCCAGGCAAACATAGAACTCACAAAGTCTAGAGAACATCTCTCACAACAGTAGCACAAGCCACAGAACACTTCCTAACACCTCGTGACAAACTCAGGGGCACAGGAAAAAAATCAACAGTCCTTGCCTCATCTCTTTGATCTAATTCTTATCTCTGAGGGTGGGTTATGGCTGTTTCAGTCTCCTCTTTCAGATTCTAAATAACTGAATGTCTCCAGCTCCCCAGAACACTGAAACCATGTGCAAACAACCACTTGGTTCCAGAGAAAGAGTACAGTAATTCTGCCAATCACCATCAACCCTGAGCGAGCACATGAACTCCATGATTTCAAAGCAACCATTCACCACTCCCTCCCCATAACACTCGTGCTCAGCTGTCCGTGAACAGCTGCACATATGTGGAGAGACTGAGGGCTCATTTTGGAATAAATTCATCTTACTCAGGAAGAGCAAGAGCTTCGCTAAAAAAACCACATTGGCACTGGGGAAAACCAGGCACTCCTGCAGTGCTGTTCCCCACAGTCCTCACCGTGTGGCCATACTGCAAGAGCAGCACCTTCTGCGTCACCACAAACTGAGCCTTCTTGTTCTTCACAACCAGGTTCCCCAGTAATCTGGACAGGACATCTGACCTAGCGAGACAGGTCAACAACAAAACATCAGGGATCCATGCAATTGCTGTCATGCTGCTCCTAATCATAGGAAAAACTGAGAGCAGCTATTTGCAACCAAGTCTCTAGAACACCCCTAAACTCAGTGAGCCAGTAATGGCAAAGAATGTTTACACTTGTTTTTCCACTGCAGGCCACAATGTAGATCCTTAAGGAATGGTGTAGGTTCTACCTGAGAGGCAACAATCAACTACTTTACCCCTTGAGTCTCTCAGGAAATGGCACTGTAAAAAACCACCTATACAAACACAGCACCTTTCAGACACTGATTGTGCAAGTATTTGTGACAAAATTCCAGCCTTTGCTCTGGATCAGGGAGAAAGCAGAGCTCTTACCCAGGTGCTCTCTGCACAAAGCCAAGGACCACTGCCTCCATCCAGCGCTCTGGCACACACTCCACCAGCCGCCAGCAGATCCTCTGCCAGATGCAGTCTGACTTAGTGAGCTCTGTCAAGCGGGGCACCAGAACACCCAGAATCTCCTCTGTGGCAGAAGAGAAAACAGTAAATATCCCAAGAGGGCAGGACTGGGGCAACGGCACTCAAGGTCAGCCTGCAAATTTCAATATCCTGACAACATGAAAAACTGCAATGTACAGTTTGCAGTTCTAAATTGCTCCTGCAGTAGAAATCATAGAAGAGAATCATGGAATCACTTAGGTTGGAAAAGCTCTCTAAGATCATTGAGTCCAACAATAACCCAGCAGTGCCACCACTACACCATGTCCCAAGTGCCACACCCACAGAGCTTTTAAATCCCTTCAGGGATTTAGTGACTGCACCACTGCCCTGGGCAGCCTATTCCAGGGCCTGAAGTTTCTCCTGAAACCCAATTTAAACCTCCCCTGGCACAACCTGAGGCTGTTTCATCTTATCCCATCCCATGTTTCCTGGGAGCAGAGCCCGACCCCCATCCTGATCCTCATCCTGATGAGGATGCTCTCCCTTTCAGGTTTTAAGAGAGCAGAGGGCAGCCTATGCAGCCCAGCTCAGGACAGCTCCAAATTAACTGGTCAGTCTCCCATTCCTTCCATTGGTCATCATCAAAGCCATGGTCCCGCACTAATACATTAAAACACTTTCCCTCTCCCCAAAAGAGCATTGTAAAACACTCACTTTGCCTTCCATGAATGCACACCTTCCCCAGGACGTGAGAAATAAAAGAGATGGAGCAGTCCAAGCCACCTGGGATAAGAGACAGGAGCTTAACAAGCGCATTGCCAGCATCCCCCAACCAACCTTCAGGAGGAAGTGCAGAAACTTCTGCAAGTGCTGAAGCCTGAAAACACAGATTAACTTCTTCTCTTCAAGCATCATCTCTTCCTCTGTCCACCACCTTGTGCCTTCAGGCACCAACCAGCACTCAGTATTGTTTACACACAGTGACAGGCAGAAGGCTAAAGCAGCTCAGTCCCAACTTTTAACAAGACAGTAACAAAGTCACTGGTTCATTCAGCACCATTTAAATCTCCCATACAATTCCCTCAGCACACACCAAGTGACCCCAACTAAGCTTTAGGAACAGACGCTGCTGCTTAATTGCTTGTAGGATTGCTACTTTCACTGGGATTTCAAAAGGCCTCAGCTATCTTCCTCATCCCTGGGATCTTATGCTTTTAGGATAGCCTGAAGAAGGAACATGAGGCTCTGCAACACTCATCATATTTCAAGCAGCAGCCAAGGGGTCCACGCACAAAACACTTTTTCAGAAAAGTCATCCCTCCAGCGCAGTCCTTCCTTACCTCGCAGAGAGTCGGAGATCATCTGCAGCACCTGGAGAACTGCAGCTCCCAGGAGAGGGAAATAGTTCTGCGGGAAGAACACCGGCGGGTTTTCCCCCTGGAGTTTATTGCTCACGTGCTCAGGCAAACACACGATTCTGTTGAGCAGGGCGTCCTGCAGCTCCGGGCACCCACCGTGCGCCTGCTGCTGACACCCGTCCCACAGCAGCGCCGACAGCCGCCCCTCCCGCAGGAACCGCTCCAGCATCGCCGCCGCCTCCCTCGGCGCGAGCCCGGGGCTGGAAGAGAGAGACTGCTCTAAGTCCCTGCCCCTCTCAAATGGCAAAAATAAAATGCGCGTGCAATTGCTTTTCACTTGTGGTCTCACCACTGAAACACCGCTGCTCTGTTAACACTGAATTCTACTCAACAATCAAATTAAAACCAAAGCGATTTTAATTCCTTTGTATCGTCTCCAAACGCTTCAGCACATTCATTCAATAACCAGGCCTGAAGGAGCCCCGCGACTGCGGGACGCCCCGTACCGCGTGTGGGGTGTGCGGGGGCTCAGGGCAGCGCCAGGGCTCCCCGCGTCCACCCCCATCCCCGGCGGGCACCCCCAGGCCCCCGCCCGCCTGCCCTGGGGGGCCGCACTGACCCCGCGGAGCCGAGGGCCTCGAGCAGGACGCAGAGGGCGAGGCCGGGCGGGCCCTCGAGGAAGCAGCGTTGCCACTCGCCGTCGGGCCGCGCCGCGCCGGGCGCCCGGGCCAGGCTGCGCAGGAAGGCGCCGAACTGCGCCCGTTCCCGCTCCCCGAGCGCGGCTGGGCCGCCCGCAGCCGACAGGGCGGAGAGCACCGCGCCCAGCGCCGCCGCAGGGCCCTGCCCGGTGCCCTCTGCGGCCCCCGCCCGGCCCAGCGCCGCCGCCGCCTCGCGCAGGGCGCGCTCCAGCCCCTGCCCCGCCGGCGCCGCCATGGCGCTGAGGGAAAGGCCCCACCCCCCACCTTCGGCGGCCGCCAATCAGCGGCGCCCATGTGCCCCGAGCACAGCCAATCAGCGGCGCCAGCCCCGTAGAGCTGCAGACAAGCCCCGCCCCTCTTCAAGAGCCCGGCGCCTCCGGCGGCGGAGGGGCTGCGCTGAGGGAGAGTCACGGGACGGGCCGAGCTGAAGGGGACCCACAAGGATCATCGAGTCCAACCCTCAGCCTGCACAAGACCATCCCCAGGAGTCACAACATGTGCCTCAGAGGATCATCCAAACCCTCCTGGAGCTCTGGCAGCCTTGGGGAGCCTGGTCAGTGCCCAACCACCCTCTGGGGGAAGAATCTTTTCCTGACATCCAACCTGACCCTGCCCTGACACAGGTCCAGGCCAGTCCCTGGCTCCTGTCCCTGGTCCCCACAGAGCAGACCTCAGGGCCTGCCCCTCCTGAGGAAGTTGGAACCGCAGTGAGGTCTCCCCTCATTCTCCTCTTCTCCAGTTGAAAACGCCAAGTGCCCTCAGTATCCTCACACGGCTTCCCCTCAGGGCCCTTCCCCATCTTCATTGCCTCCTTTGGACACTCTCTAATGCCTTCACATTTTTCTTATATTGCAGTGCCCCCCAATATTGCAGGTGAGGCTGCCCCAGGGCAGAGCAGAGCGGGACAATCCCCTCCCTGGCCAGGCCAGTGATGCTGGGCCTGATGCCCCCAGGAGAGGGTTGGCCCTCCTGGCTGCCAGGGCTCTGCTGACTCATGGCCAAGTGGCCATGGACCAGGATACCCAGGGCCCTTTCCCGCAGCACTGAATTCCCAGGAAGGGCCCCACGTGCCCACACCAAGGCAGCAAAAAAAGACAGCTACTCTCAACCTACTGCTTTATTCAGTAATTGCTGGTCCTACACAAGTACAAACACAACATGGCCCAAAAGGCTACAAAGTTATACAAAATAAAACAAAAAAAAGTCTGTATAGTATTGGCTGTACAACAGGTGGTAAATTCTTTGCCTTTCCCTGTGTGAACCCCAGATAATCCAGCCAGCACTGTGACCTTGAGCCTCCCTCTCTGACTTGCAGTTTCCAGGAGGTTGGCGCTCAGTCGCTCATTTGGGATTTGTAAAAGCAGAAGCACTCACACTGTTTTACTGGGGGTTGTGTAAGAAGTTTTTATCAACACTCTCAAAGAAAAAGTGAAAGAAATCGATTAACGGGTCAGCTAAAGAACTGTTCTTAGGATTTCCAGCTTCTTCTCTAAAGTGTCATGTTCAGTGGGCTGGACCATTGCTTCTGAGGTGATCTCCTGGTATAAGTGTTACAGAAGAGCTCACTCAGCAGAAACTAATCATCATGGGGCACTGCAATAAAGCAACAACTCTGCATTTAATTAAAGTTTTGGGCAGGTCTGGACTCCAGCTGCCCTGAAAAATCTTGTGCTGGCACCTAGAGATCAAAATAAATGCCCCCCCTGGCTTACTCACCGGGGTTCTGAAACAGCTCAAGATTTACATGCTGATCTGTACAGCATGCTAAGCATTTACAATCACCAAGCAGCAACCTGCTAACTGGAGAAAGAGGGGCTGAAACATCTTTCCTTCCCTCTACCTGGAAAAGATGTTTTTGCAGCCTTTAAAATCAAAGCCATTTTTAAATAATTTCTATTCAATGCCAGGAACCCCAGTAGCAAAGGTTACTGGCCAGGAACTGGTGCTCTCTCCTCTTAGGTTGCCTTCACTGCCACCTTACCTCTCTCACTCCTCCTCACCCAGACTCGTTATAAAAAAAAATGTACAATATATAGTCTGATGGGATTTAAGTTAAAAAATAAAAAGCTGTCCAGTCCTTTTGCTTTATCGGGAGGAGTTGGAGCTGGAGCGGCTGCGATGGCGCCTTCGTCCGGGAGATCTGGATCGGGATCGCCGGCGGACGGGGGATCTGCGCCGCGGAGACCGGGACCTGGCAGGGCAGGAGAAGGAGGAGGAAGCTTCCGTTAGCAGACAACAGCAACAGGTTTGAGTATTTGGTCAGTTCTTTAAAAACACTTCCCAGCCTCCCTCCAAAATCCCTCACACCCCATGGGAAAAGAGATCGAGAGCTCCAGAGAGGAAAAGGGCAATTCAAACATTGACTACACAGCAGGAATATCCCAACTATCCTACCTCTGCTTCAGGAACTGGAAAGAATGTTGAGTATCCAAACAACAGACAAGAAACTTATCTTCTTCCTCAAGGAAAATGAGCTCAAATTCATTCTACATCAGATTCTCCTTCACCTGAAGTCAGCTTTGACTTCTGAAACAATGATATTCAGGGGATGGCTTATCCAAGCCCTTTTAAATTCCAGGGAAGTTCCTTAGAGGAAATAACCTCAAGAAATGGTTTACCTTCAAGCTCTTCAGTACTACAATCAACCTGTATGACCACTGCTATGACATCAGGGTTCCAGGCACAGAATATTAACAGAACTTTAACAGGACAGTAAAAGTTGGACAGGGGAAGAAAACAAAGGAGGAGGGAATAGCAAACCTGCACCTGGCAGACCTCAGCAGAAGGTGTGTTTAAAGGAGGACTAACAGGCAGTGGATCTTTTGTCAGGGTAACCAGTGCTCATTTTTAAACCTATGGCTCAAAGCTGTTCAGCAATCAAGTTAGTACTGATATGAATTTAAGCAAATTTCTAAGACAGAGGAGCCCACGTAAAGACTCAGAACAACTTATCTGCGCACAATCAGGTAGCCCTGAGTCACACAATGGGCATGTGCATGTCAGGTCACACCTTGGGGCCGGTGTACTCCACTCACCTGACACAGGACTGCTTTTTGGTCATGTGCCAATTAAGAAATAAGGGTGGGAGATACAAGGACTTCCAAAAAACAGGCAGCTGGTGCAGGCTGCCACAAGTGTCCTGCCAGCCAGAGTCTGCTCCCCTCAAAGCCTTTATGCAGAAAGGGCTCCAGGGAACAGGGTGGGGAGCACCTGACCTTTCCCACAGGCTGCATCTGGGGTACAGACCAGGGCAGGTCACCTCGGAGCTACTGAGGAGCTGGCAACTGCAATCCAGGTTCAACAACTGCCCAAAAGTGTTCCTGTCACTTGGAGGAGAAAGTCAAGTCCAACAGGATTGTCCCCACGCCAAGAACTTCAGCAGTAGCGTGCTGTTACACCGAGAAGGAAACACAAGTTGCGACGGCTCTCACCTTCTCCTCATGCGCGGGGGCGAGCGGCGCCACATTGGGGGCGGTGGCAGCATCCTGCGGGGGGGGCTGAAGCGCCGGGGGGGCGGCCGGGGCCGCGGGGCCAGCACGGCTGTGGCAGTGATCTCCTGCCCATCGATTTGGCCTTTGGGGGGACCACACAAACAGCCAGGAGTCAGTATTTTTCAACATCTACACATCCATCACATTTACTGCAACTCACGGCTCTGTCACAAGCGACTGAGGCGGGATCAGCCCACGGTGCTGCCTCCACCCCCCACTCAGGGGCTACTCTGACAAAGTCCACACATATACTAGACTTCTTAATCTAATATCCTACCAAACTGCAGCTCAGATGTTAAGTTTCTGTGAAAATCTTTCCAAGTTAAAGAATCTTACCACTGTTTCAAAAAAAAAAATCAGTTTTAATAGTTCTGTGATGTTTTGGATCGGTCCTGAAACACACAAAAGCCATTTGGGCTGAAAGCTGACAGTATTTCAGATCAGTTCCCCAAAGACATCCCTATCACCTTTAACCCACTTTCAGATCAAATTCATCTACTCTGAAGATTTTTAGATACCCCCAGGCTCCTTGCAAGATGATACCTACCTCCATCCATGTGTTTCAGGGCTTTCTCAGCATCATCTGGGTTCTCAAACTCCACATAAGCATAACCTTTGGAGAGGTGAGGGTTTAGCCTGTCAACTGGCATGTCAATCATTTTAATCTTTCCGTAAGTAGAAAAAATTTCCATGATGTGATCCTGCAAGGAAAGAGCAAGCTTTATGGACACAGGCCATACTCACTAGTCAGGTCTGGCTGCCACAGAGCAGTAAATCCACAGCACATCATTTTTTCAGCAGCCTTTTACCCCTGAAGACCTTTAAACTGCCTTCTAGCAAAGACAACTGAAGCCAGCCCAGCTCTCTGTAGATCCTTCATCAAGAACTGCCAGATATCATTAATGCCTCCAAGGTAATTTCAGCTGTTGTCCCAACTTCTATAGTCTTCTTTCTAATAAAACAGGATATAAGGTCTGGGATACTGTCAAAGCAGGCAGACCTCTTAAGCACTACACAGTCTCAGAAGCCTGCATGGTATTTGACTCACTGAAACCCTACTAAAATTTTCCTCCGTAATCAATCTGGACATAAAGCGAGAACTTCCAACAGCAACACCTTGGCATCTCTCTAGCAACCAAAACATCCTGAGAGCTTTGAAAAAGCCACTCACACGTTCTCACGGAAGAACATGAATGCTTGATACCACAGGGGAACATGCCATTACCTTGGTCACATTTCTAGTGAGCCTTCCAACATGCACCTTTGTGGGTCTGAGGGACGGGCTCCGCCTCTTTCGCTCCTTCTCATCTCTCTTGGGTGGCTTGGACCTGATTTGGGCAACAGAAAATATTCACAGTTTTCAGGGAACATGCAAGACAAAACCAAGAAGCCAGTCATTATCACACAATTAAAAAGTACCATTTTTCTTAGAAGGACACCTTTTTTCTGAGAAAGTTACAGGTTAAGAGGTGTTGGGGTGGTGGTGAGGCTGTTCCACTCAGAAACACCTCAAGACTTGCATTTGCCCTTCTGCTTTTGCTTTAGAACCTTCTGGAATTTGAGAGCCTTTTTTTTTTGCAACTTCTCAACTTCACAACAACTAGGGTAAAAACCAGGACATTTAGCAAACACTTCTATGAAGTTGTGGCCAATAGTTCAAGGATTTCCCAGTTGTTAACACAAAAAAACATTCTTTGCCTCAACAGTTAAAGAGCCAAAATGAGGCCATAAACAGCACAGCATG